TTGACTTTAGCTTAGTTCATGGTGATAGACCTGGGTCAAGTTTAATTATTTGGCAAGGAAAGAGCCAATTTTTCCAGCACTATTTGTTAAAGAGGATATCTTTCTTCCAGTGAGTATGTTTGGTCCCTTTGTCAAACATAAGGTGCCTGCATGTGTTTGTAGGTGCTCCAGCATCTTCTAATCTATTCAATTAATTCTCGGGTCTATTCCATTGCCAATACCATGCTGATTTTGTCACAGTAGACTTGTAGTATAATTTCAGGTCAGGAATTGTAGTGCCTCCTGCTTTGTCTTTATTGCCCAGGATTGCCTTTGCTACTCTAGGTCTTTTCTGGTTCCAAATAAATTTTAGGAATAATTTCTCTACCTCTGGGAGGTGTGTTGGTGGTATCTTGATAAGGATTGCATTAAATCTGCACAGCAATTTTGGGAGTATGGCCATCTTCACAATGTTGGTTCTTCCTATCCAGGAGCATGGAATATCTTTCCATTTTATGAAATCCTCTATGATCTCTTTTTTCAGAGTACTGTAATTTTCCTTGAAAAGATCTTTGACTTCTTTAGTTAGATTAATTCCAAGGTATTTCATCTTCCTCGGTGCTATTGTAAAAGGTATTGTTTCTATAATTTCCCTCTCAGTGTGTTTGTTGTCTGTGTAGAGGAATCCTATTGACTTTTGGATATTGACTTTGTATCCTGCTATGCTACTGAAATTCTGTATTAATTCTAGTAGCTTCTTGGTGGAGCTTTTTGGGTCTTCCAAGTAAAGTACCATGTCATCTGCAAATAATGACAAATTAATTTCTTCTTTACCTATTCTTATTCCTTTTATTTCTTTCTCTTGTCTAATGGCTGTAGCTAATGATTCCAGAACTATATTGAATAGGAGTGGTGATAGAGGACTTCCTTGTCTTGTACCAGATCTGAGTAAAATATTTCAGTTTTTCCCCATTTAGAATTATGTTAGCTGCTGGATTTTCATTAATGGCTTTTACCAGGTTGAAGTAGAGGCCATCTATTCCAATTTTCTGTAGGACTTTGAACAGGAATGAGTGTTGGACTTTGTGAAAAGCCCTTTCTTCATCAATTGAGATGATCATGTGGTTTTTAATTTTCACTGTATGATATAGTGTATTACATTTATAGATTTTTGAATATTAAACCATCCTTGCATCCCTGAGATGAATCCTACCTGGTCATGGTGTATGATCTTCTTGATTATTTGCTGTATTCTATTTGCTAGTATTTTATTGAGATTGTTTGCATCTCCCCATTTTAATTATTAGTGTTACTTTTTAAGTTCATGCTTATAACATTTATTGATCGCATTCATTGTAGGTTGTTAGCACCTCGTAGGTCTTCTCATATCCCCTTTTCCTCCCTTCTTTCTCCTCTTCCTCAGTTTCTTGGTCCCCTTCCCATTTGTGCTATCTTCCTGGCCCTTTCCCTTCCCATTTGTGAAAGTTCTATTTTCCAGTTTCATTGTCATTGAGCTTTCATTTTTGTCTTTATTTATGCTATGAATAAAGCAATTGAGAAACCATATGGTATTTAAGCTTGTGGGTCTGATTTATTTCACTTAACACTATGTTTTCATGGCGTATCCATTTCCCTACAAATTTCTCGAATTTATGGAGTTCTTTATACCTGAGTAGCATTTCATTGTGTATATATACCACATTTTCTTTATCCATTCATCTGTTGATGTGCATACCAGATACTTTCAAGATATAGCTACAGAATTTTTAATTGCACTGCTATAAAAACTGGTGTGGTTGTATCACTGTAATATGAGATGTCTTTAGCTCTTTGGGGATGAATTATACAAGGGGAATAGCTAGGTCAAATTGAATTTTTAGTTTTAGTTTTTTTAAAGACTCTCCACACTTATTTCCATAATGGTTGTATTAGTTTATATTCCCATGAACAAATACTATTACATTATCTAATTCATGAAGACAGGATGTCTTTCAATTTACATGTGTCTTGAATTACTTTCAAAGATGTATCATGATTTTCAAAATACAAGTCTTTCACTTCTTTGGTTCAGTGTGTTCCTAAGTATTTTATTCTTTTTGATTCTCCTATAAATGGAATTGCTAATGTCTTTTTCAGATTGTTCATTTTTATTGTACAGAAATTAAACTGATTTTGTGGTCTGTAATTCTGCTGAATTTATTAGTTTTAATATTTTTTATAAAGTGTAAGAGTTTTCTACTTATAACATCATAAACTTCTTACTTTCCAGATTGGATGTCTTTTTAGTTTTCTTGCCTCCTTTCTCTGGATAAAACTACCATGCTAAACAGAAGAAAAAAACATCATGTTTTATCTTTTTTCCTCACCTTGGATGCAAATTTTTCAGTCTTTAGTCATTGAATATGACATTAGATACAAGCTTTTAATATATCATATTTATTAATGATGTAAAAAAAACAATTTGTAATAACAACCTAATAATTTATTGCATAAAAATGCTTCATCTTATCTCTAATATCTATTATTTAATTATTGCTTTTTAAATATAAATAATAATTTGAAATACACTCTTGCACAAACAATATTTTCTGAACATCTAAGCATCATAGTTACAATTTTTAATAGTCTATGTCTTTTTTTTTATATTTTAGGCAAGAGTCTACAGGGTGTTCAGGGTCTCACTACTGGATCAGACTCATAGTGATTCTCCTGTTTACAGCCTCCCAAGTGCTGGGATTATAGGCAAGTGCCACCACATCCCATCTCAATCACCATTTCAGCATGCCCAGAGAGCAGGGCTTGCACTGCAGGCCCGGGGATTGAACCCCCAGCCCCTGTACCTGCTTGCAGGTGCTTTAATCTTCTGTGCTATTTGGCCAGCCCAATAGTCTATGTCATACCAGTCACTGACTTAGGATATAAAACAGAATTAATGGACAAACTATATCTTCACCCTGAAGAAGATTTTCCCTGTTAAGACAAATAAATGCAATAATGCCAACATAGTTTCTTCAAAGGCAACATAAAGAGCACAGGTTAAGAAAGATAAAAGAAATCTCATACAAATAAATCATGAGGATGAATTAGGAATGTGCTAAATTCTAGATCAATGCCATTGAGTAAAAATATAATGTAAATTGTATATGTCATTGAAAGTGTCCTAGTCTAAGTGCCTGCTTTGGCAAGCATGAGGACCAGGGTTTGATCCCCAGTCCTGCATGCCACGCCAGCCCTGCCCTCAAGGCGAAAGGAGCCAGCAACCGAGTCCAGGAATGGTGATGCACACCTGTAATCCCAGCACTGGGGAGGCTGCAAACAGGAAGATCACTACTGCATAGTGAGACCATGCACAAAAACATTTTTAAGAAGTGTCTTAGTAAAATGTCTTTAAACTCTGAACAGAAAATTAGATTAATTTTAATAATTTATGTTATTTCATTTAATTTAATATATCAACATAGTGTTACTTCAACATGTATTCAGTATTTAAAATCTGCATGATACTTCAAAATCCAGTATATTTCACACTGTATCATGTCTTTTGGTCTCTTATTTTTTATTCTTGAGATAAGTTCTCACTAGGTTGCCCAGTCTGGCTTCACATGTGCAGTCCTCCCTCCTCGCCCTCCCATTTAGCTGAAATCACTGGTGTGTGCCGCTGTGCCTAACCTTACATCACATCCTTGTTCATACCAGCCACCATTCAGGTTTTGGTTGAGTACATAACTAGTGGCTGCCATTGTTTACAGAAGGCAGCTGTAGAGCTTGAAGACTAATCGCTGATGCCAAAAGACAAAGTAGTGGCTGTCAGAGGCCAAGGTAAAGAAAAAGATGAACAGCAAAAAGGCATAAAAGGGGACTTGCGGAACTTTGAAATTTTCTATATTGATTACTGTGGTGTTTCCATGATTGTGTACATCTGTGAAAATTCTTAAATTGGACAACTGGAGTGGGCGCCACTTGCTGTACATATATATTACAGCTTAGTAAATTGATTGTTTTGAAGGAGGCAGACAATGAAGATGAGAAGAGCCTAGAGTTTTCTCAAATAGTACTGAATCTTATTACTCTCTGAGGGAGCCTATTTTAATGATTTCCTAATAGTATGATCTTTTTATATCTTTGTTAATTTAATAGTCAACAAGTGCTTATTATTTTTATCTATTTTCTTAATTTATATTTATTTAACAACAATAGAAGTATTTAATGTATATTGGGTATCTACATTTTCCAAAGCATATCAACTTTTCTAGTCAACAGTAAATGTCTGAAAGAGAAAAAGAAAGGAAAGAAGGAAGGAAAAAATGTTCCCATGTTGCTTATTCATTTATTCCTTCATACAAAACAACAGCACAGAAGAAAAGACAAAGAGGCATAAGGAACTGAATGGACAAAATTCACTGCCAAAGGCTTAGAACATAGTTGAGGAAACCTCTCTGTCCCTGTCCCTGTCCCTGTCCCTGTCCCTGTTCTCTCTCTCTCTCTCTCTCTCTCTCTCTCTCTCTCTCTCTCTCTCTGTCTCTGTGTGTATCTCTGTTTCTGTGTGTATGTCTCTCTCTGTTTCTCTCTGTCTCTCACTTCATCTCTGTCTCTCTGTTTCTCTCTGTCTCTCCCTGTCTTTCTCTTTCTCTGTCTATCTCTGTCTGTCTGTCTCTCTCTCTCGCTCACTCGCTCTCTCTCTCTCTCACCCACACACACACACAAACACACACACAAAAAAAAAGAAACATACACACAAAATGACAGGTAATCTTATCCCAGATCATATAATGAAGTGTTAATGCAAAATAGATGAGGATTTGTACAACCCCTAAATTAGGACTGAGGCATATTGACTGTACTTACCAATGTAGTCTGGTTATATGTCACCAGCCTCTCCACGCTCCTGTCATCATTTCCCTCCTTTTTCAGAAAAGGAGATATGCCTACCACATGTTCAGATTTGATCGCCAGGTTTTGGCAACCCCTCGGGGTAGGTTTGTAATCGTAACATACAGGCCTCCCCATGGTTTTCATTTCAGTAAACTGAAACCTCAGCTTCCACTAAATGAGCACCTCAATATTCTTGAAGAGAATATTCGAAGACTGCTGCCCCTTCCTCCTCTAGAGAAGCTTATGAGCCAGGGAGAGACTAACAACGACAAGGAGCACATTCGCGTACGTGGGGCAGGGCCTGGGTGGCATGCGGGATGGTCATGGGACTTGGCGCCCTCCCTGCGGCCTCGCTCATGTTCACATCTGATTCCAGTTTCTCCACGAACGGTCCATGGATGCCCTAAGTAGGCTTCTGAGGACCATGATGTGGGACGACTCGAATGCAGAGAACTGTCAAGAGATGTTTAACGTGAGTAAGGCCACTACTCGCATAGGCCTCCCCCTTCCTAATCTGTCCCGCCATGTGCTGTGAGAACCCCACCTCATTCTTCACAAGAGGAGAGCCATTGTGGCCCATTCGCCCCACCACAGAGGACCAATCCTCTCAAAAACTGCTTGTGGGGGGTGGTCACCCTGTTTCACAGGAGACAGAGTGAGGAGGACTGTGAGAGAGAGGGAGAGAATGGGACTGAATGAATATGAAAAATACCCAAAAAAAAGGACATTGTTCTTCATCAACAGCTTCTCCGAATGTGGCTTGTTTCACCAAAAGAGTGGGAAAGAGAAAGAGCATTCCAGATCACGGCAAAGATACTGACAAGTGATATTGAGGCAAGTAATGCCCCAGAAATAGACCCCACGGGGGCTTCTGGGACAGCTCTAGCCCCGAAACCCTCTCCTGACCGAGGGATCTTGGGCCTCGGAGCAAAGGTCTTCCCACAGGCCCCCGGGTGGGTCCTCTAACTCCAGAGTGTAATGAGCACCCTAGCATTAAACCCACTGCTGTCTTCGCATTCTTGTTTGCTTGGTCACTTCTTAACCGTCATTAAGAAGTCACACACATTTCAGGGAACTTTTTTATTCAATCTCATTTTGAGGACCTGAGGGGAAAAAAATAGGGGGCTTGAGATAGAGTGTAGGGAAGAGCCTGGACGTCGCGAGACCGCCCTGTCATACGGAAGCCTCCTTTGTTTTAGGCACCAAAGAACTTCAAGATCGGCTCTCTCCTGGGGCTCCTGGCTCCTCACTGCTGTGACACCCTGCCCGCCATCCGTCGGGCAGCTGCCAGCTCCACTATTGCTCTGTTCTGTATGAAAGGTGAGAAGAAGGCGGGAACCCCCGGGTGAAAGGGGATGGTCCTCCTCTGCCTGCAACCTTTCTCCTTGTGCATCCAGTCTCTCCTGTCTCCTGTTAGGACTGCTCACCACTTTGGCAGTTCAGTTTCTCAGTTCTAATCACAGTTATTTACAGAATTTGTTTCTCTCTTGGATCTGAAGTGAATCATGTTTTTCTTCAGTAGCTCTGCTTTCCTGGGGTAGTTTTTTTAATGATAACACTGAGGCATTATAAAGATATATTATAAGAAGTAAAATATTTTGAAAGTCTCCAATTTAAATTACTGAGCAATTGGGCATATTAGCAATGCTTCCTCTGTCACATTATTTTCTTCAGAAAAAAATTCACTATTATTGCAAGCTAGGTAACTTTCAAAGTTCCCTTAGTAAGGTAAATTTATGGAGGTTTCTTAGGCTTACTAATCAGGATCTCTTCCTGTTTTCCAAGTATGTATGAAAAAATATCAGTACAAGAAAATATCTCTTTTTTGCCTTTATAAGTGGGATTTATTTGAAAAACATATAAAGATGGTCATTTTACAAGTTCAGTTACACAACAAAATAAAGAATGATAAGTTCCATATTTTGGCAAGCATAAAATATTTACAAAAAGGCATACTACAAATGACTGGGATAGAGTATTTATGAGCTAATGACCTGCATTAATAAAGAAAAGGGTCAAAAAGTAGAACTTCATATAAATTAACATCATTATGGTTGGTAGTTATATGCACCCATTATTGTAACTGCACTCATCTGATCCACCATCTATGTAAACAATTTATGACTTTAGAAAAGACAGAAAGCACCAGGAAATATTAAGAAATTTAACTCTTAATTAATAGAGTGATTTGTTCTAACAGTGTTTGTAAATAGGATATCATGTCCGCATCTTTACAGCAATTAACCACTAGGAAGAACGTATGCAATGTGTTAATTATTGAAACTGTCCTACCAATTTAGCTTGAAACTGTCTCATTGCTATTTGTTTCTCATTAAATTATGGGAAAAAAATTGAAAAAAGAAAAGAAATTTAAGACTTAAGTACCAGGGTGAAACCAAAAATCAGGGCCACCTCACCAGGCTAAGAAGTCATGCCGTGCTTCAGCAGTGACAATCCTACTTTTGGTAGACTCCCAGGTACAACCCAGACCACTCATCTTAACATCATCTCATGCTCATGTTCAACTTATCAATCCTCTAGGAACTCAAAATATTTACTGAGTTCCTTCTCAAGTATCAAGAACTGCTTTGATTCTGTGATCACAGAGATAGTACAAGCCCAAGAGTCACATAAGAAAAACACATTAAAGCCAAAAGATGAGATTTCACTGAAGGTGGGTAAGATTAATCATCAGTCCAAAGAAAATACTGTTCAACCATATTAGAGTAGATATGAAAGTCCTGAGGGATATGAGAAGATGGTTCTTTAAGGTTATATGCTTTGACCAATCCAATTCTTTAAAAAAAAAAAAAAAAAAAAAAAAAAAGTAAATGTCAACTAAGGAATCATTAATGAAGAAAATCTGTGCTAGTAAGGGAAATCTAAGCAAGAAAGATTTTTGTTGTTGTTGTTGCATTTTAGGGAAGGGTCTGCAGGATGTTCAGGGTCTCACTGCTAGATTAGACTTGTAGTGATCCACCTGTTTACAGCCTCCTAAGTGCTGGGATTACAGGCACACACCACCATGCGCAGTCTCAATTGCCACCTCATTGTGCTCCACAGGCAGGACCGGCAGGGCAGGCCCAGGGATTGAACCCCGGCCCCTGAGCCTGATTGCAGGCGCTTTAATCCACTGAGCTATTTGGACAACCCAAGAAAGACACTTTCATTCCATTATTGTTTTGCCTATTCTTTCTGTAGGCTATTTTTTTTCTGTTTTTTTTATTTTTCTTTTTTTCTAAATACACAAAAGTCAGATTCTCTTACATTCTTTGCTAATAAAAAATATACACTATTAGCTCTTTCTTCAATTAATTAATCCTGGAAGACAAAGAGAAAAAAGAAGTATTCTTCAACACCTTCTAGGCACAAGTAACTAGCATGATAGTACTTTAAAAACCCATGGATATTTATGAATGTTAATCAGTTTTAAAAAGAAAGTAAGAAAGATACCAGTTGCCTGGTCCACTGAAAGTAAGGTACCTGGGCTTTGAGCCCACATGTGTCTGACTTCTAAATCTATGTTTGTTCCATTCAGCTAAGCTGCCTTCCACAGAATGGTCCATGTGTTAGTTTCTACGACTAAGAAGCATTCAAAAGCAGAAAATTATTAGTGCTTATGTCTGTGTTTATAAAGTGACACCATACCTAAAAATTATATATATTTAATCACTTATATATATATATATATATATAATCACTTATGCAGTTGCTAATATAAACTACTATTACAATCTTAACATTTCAACTTTCTCCAGGTGATTCACTAAAAGTGAAACTTCAAAAGTTTAGCAGTACAGGAACATTATTAGAGCCTGGGCACTTATGATAGACACACCAGGGCTCAAACTCTAACTCATTTCTTTTTTTCTCACTGTTTGACTTTGGATTACTGGCTTCACATTTCTCTGCTCTAGATTTTCCATCTGTAAACTGGGGAAAAGCAAGAGGAGGGTCTACTTGGGCTAGTCTTCATGAATGATGAAGGAGACTGTTGCATGCAGGCTACTTAGCATGGTTCCCAGGTCTAGAAGCTAATCAGGCTGATTTCACTACCATCTTATCAGGCAGCCATTGCTATGTTGATTAAAGGAATCCAAGAGCAGAATTAGTGTCACATCAAAAAGTAGTCAGGCTCCTCTTCAACTCTTTCTTTTTTTTTTTTCTTTTTTTTTTTTTTTCTTTTTGGTGGAACTGGGGATTGAACTCAGGCTCTTATGCTTGCCAAGCAAGCACTTATTCTACTGAGCTATCTCTCTGGCCCCATCAACTCTTTCTTGATCTTTGAAATTTTATGTTTTTTTTTCCCCCTTTGGTGACTATAGGCATTCATCTGGAGCTAGAAAGACTGCAGAATTTACAAGAGGGGATAGAATGCGATGATGTCCAGGTCCAGATCAAGATTTCCTCTAAAATAGCTAAGGTAACAAGTATGGAAGGCTGGCCAAGGGATATAAAGTGGTTCTGGGTTAATTTACAAATGGTAAGCTAGAGACTCCTCATTGCTGCTAAAGGTAATAGTTTAGATATTCAAATCACACAAAAGGCATTTTGTCCTGTCCTTAGCTTTAGGTACACAGGCCTACTCAACACTGCTCTAAGTACAGGAAACTTGGTGAATTAAGTGGCTTTCTCAGGATGTATGATGCAGTGGAGGGAAAGGAACAATATGTATTGCAATTAATGTATATGAATGATAAAACTTTCTCTTTTTTGCTTTGTAACTTATTAAATTATTCTACAAAATAGCATAGCAAGTCCAAATTATAATTAAACCAGAAAATAAACATGTCTGCTTAATAACAATAAAAACCTACCTTCACAGGCAAATACATATAGGCAGGTCCACATATTACTACTGATAATCCCATTTTAGCTGCAAAGTCATGAATTGGATACATTCAGGTTTCAAAAGGACTGACTGTGCATGGCAGACACCAGAGTACCGCCCTTCCTGACATAAATAAGTTCCATTGTCATCTACATGGCCCATGCTCTGGTAGTGTGTAATCAAGTCATGAAATGTCACATAACAATAGGGAAAATAAGAGGACTCTGGTTCTGATGGTTAAAAGTTCACAGTCTTGTGGACCCACATTACTAGCTGCCCAGGACAGCTCAAGCCATGAGCTGTGGATTGGACATGTCTGCTATTATTAGAGTAGAAAAAGACAAGAACCTTGCCTTCACTGAGACTGCATCCTGAAAGGGCTCTTAAATCATAATATAATATCAGGTAATGATTGAGAAAAAGTCAAGTAAGGGAATAAGGGGAAGATCATTCTGAGAAGAAAGCCTCTTTGAAGAGGAAAATCATGCAACTATCTGGAAAAGAAAGCATTCCAGACAGAGGCAAAGTAGTAAGTTCAAAGGCCTTTCTTGAGATCAAGAAAGAGATAGTGAAATCTAAGATATAAGTGGGCTCAATTTCAGGGCATTACAGATCTTATTAAGGACATTAATTTGTACCCCAGTAGAAATCAAAATTCAGTGGAGGATTGACCAGAAGAGTCAGCATCAATACACACACTTATGCCAGGTGTTGAAATGTAAAAAGTCCCCCTCACTTAAAGCAATGCAACCCAGAATACACATAGGTGTCACCAACATTTCCCACAGATGACAATAAAGTCAGTACATTGGGACAACATACAAGGCAAAGTGAAAAATCTTCAGGACGGGCTGTATTGTCCTGATTTGGAAAGGTCTGCAGGGGCTGGGTGCTCCTGAGAAGAGATCAGGTTCATGTTTATGCAGAGCTGCTCTGACTGCTGTGGGGAAACTAGACATAGGCTGGGAAAAGCAGAGGTAAAGCAGTGAGTTTGAACACCTGCAAGAATCCAGGTGTTAGCTTAGACCAGGGTGACAGCAGCAGAGACAATGAGAAATTGATGAGAACATGGGAGAGAAAACGGGTAGGAAACACAGCATAAAATCAGTGCTCTTGTCCTTTAATTGTGGAATTGTGATAACTGAATACTGCTGGCCTGCACAAGTATTCACAGGAAAGTATTCACACTCATTTCTTCACAATAAAATATCAGAGCACTTGATGCAAGGGGAAAGTCAGTATGAAGAGATGTGTCTTCATGTGTTCAAGTCATTACCATCCAGCTTAGTCAAACCCCTACATAGGGTTCCTGGCACTCATTCAGAGATGTCCCCTTCTGCCTCTTCTCAACACACATGTACAGACATATACACTCACGTGCACACATTGCTATCAATCATTCTCTATAGTTCTTTCACCTAGAGATCGAAATTGCAAAGTTTTATTTTCTTGACCTCTTATTGACTGTCCTTAATATTGAAGCTGAGAAGACCAAAACACAGAACCCATAATAATCCATTCTCCATATGGATCTGTCAGCCACCTGGATATTCAGCATGGCACTCAGTGTGATAGATTTGCATGAATTGTCAAGGTTTTGCTATTCTATGACAGACTCAGACATATTTCTATGATATATGAGGTATATATGAAAGTATTTCACAGCATAAAAATTGCTACATAAATATTATGCATTATTTTTCCCGTATGCAGTTTGCTATGACATTAGATTTAGAGAGGAAATTGCTTCTGCAGGATTGACATTCTATAATATGAAATGACAAAAAGACAACAAACACTAGGAAAAGATTAGAGATAAAGGGTTGGGCCTCTGTCCTGTTTCCCTGATTTTGGTGGCCCAAACTATCTGCTGACTGTTTGGAAAGCCCGGTGACTTTCAATGTTGTGTTACAGATAATACAAGCAAGTTGTAGGTGTCCAGACATAAGGTGAGGTGCTGGGCAACATGAGTCTTTCTGGGTCCATTCTCAGATTGTCTGTAAATTCATCCCAACTGATGAAATTCAGATGTTCTTGGAAGAAACTCTAGATGGCCTGGAAAGCCTCAACCCCATGTGCATGAAGGCCTGCGGCATTTGGATGATTGCAGCTTTGAAGGAGCATGGAGCATCGCTGGAACATCAGGTGAGCTGACAGCTGGCGGCCAAATTGAACAGCATTCGAGCCCTTCTGAAATGCCAGGGCCGCCATTGCTTCTCAGTCTGTCCTGCCATGGGCAGTGAGCAAGAGCACACAGAGTCTCAGAGTCCTCCAGAGAGTGGGGTGCACACAGGCTCATGCTGTGGGCATTCTCCATTACCCCTCTGCTCTCCTAGCATGAACACTCTAGAGGATGTCTCGCTCTGGCCAGGGGAAGTGGCTCTGAGCAAGGCCATTTGGCTATGCAAATCGGGTTGGTAGATCTGTGAGGAGGAACATGTCTGCATGGATGCATTTGCTTTGCCTGTCAAAGCCAGGAGAGCTCTCACACACTCCATGCTTTTCTTTCTTGCCCTCAGAGTGTAAGACTGCCAGTGGGTTGAGGAAAAGACCTCAATCCTTGCTCCCAACTAAATGTGAGCAGAACAAACAATTAAAATTCAGAAAGCTTAGTTAAGAACTCCAAATGGAGACACTTCTGTCCTGTCTTCTGAGACACACAGAACAGAAGCATCCAAACATTAATAAGAAAGAAACTTTGAATGAAGGCATCTCAAGCAGAGAAGAGAACGAAGTGTTGTCCCCATATCTCCAAGCCAACTACTTTCGATTTCAAAATTCTCCAAAATACGGCTTTTATGTAAAGACATTAAAAATTACCCCCATACTATCTGTGCTTGATGGTATATAACTGTAATTGCAGCACTCCGAAGATCATAAGATCAACCCCAGCCTGGGCAGCAGGGAACTCAGTGCCTTAGCAAGACCTAGTCTCAAAATACCAAGTAAAAGAGGCTGGAAATATAGCTCAGGCCAGAGATCCTGAATTGAAACCCTGGTGTCACCAAAAAAATAAATGAAGGAAGGAAGGAAGAAAACAAGGAAGCAAGGAAGCAAGGAAGCAAGGAAGCAAGGAAGCAAGGAAGCAAGGAAGGAAGGAAGGAAGGAAGGAAGGAAGGAAGGAAGGAAGGAAGGAAGGAAGGAAGGGAGACAGGGATGAAAAGAGAGAGGGAGAAAAAAGAAAATACTTCTGTTGTAATATTTTCCAATACATCATTTTAAGCCATTAATGGAACTCATCGTTTGTGATGGACACTGGCTACGCATGGCAGAGTCAAGATTGGTAAACATGGAATGTGCACGTATTTGTATGCCTAAAGGAAGTTTATTTTACATGGACCATAAGGTTTGCATTTTGGAAAGTATATAATAACATATTCACCATTATATCATACAAAGTACTTTCAGCACCCTAAAAATATCCTCTATTGTCTGCCATTTCTCATACATTTTTCTATTTTAAATCTTTACCTGTGTTTTTCGGATAAGGATGCCCTCCTCCTCCCTCTCCTTTGCCCTTTGAAATTGCTCCATACACTTTCAGACCCAGGCCAAACGCTCCTCCAATGAGTGCAGCCCCGCCTGTTAGCTGCCCAGAGCACACTCCCGCATAATGTGTGCCAGATCATTTTGGGAAATAAATTTCTCATGTGCTCCAAAGCATATCTATGTATTTCTATTTCCAATTTAACAGTCGAGGTATCTGCAGTGCCTTCTTGCTGAAAGGGCCGATTCCGACAGATAGCCTTTCCTGAGTCACTCCACCTCTCACAAAAGAGCTGCCTCCTGTCATCTCGAGTGACTTCACACAGCACCTAGCACAGCATCTGTGCAGCGCACTCTCGCACTGGACCTTTGCTAAAGTGGACTAAAAATAAACAATTCTCCAACAGTCTTCATGAGTGAAAACTAAACCTTGTGTAGGATCAATTACTGTTTCTAATTATAGTTCTAATTCATCAATAATCACATACCCACAATGTGCTGATGGTTTCTTCTCTGGGCTACTCATGTAGAAAGGAAATGAAAACTGAACATTTTATTTGGCTTTTCTTTTTCAGTTGCTGGAGATTCTGAGCACAGTTTACCACCACATGCCAGTTCTCAGACAAAAGGAGGAAAGTTTCCAGTTCATGCTAGAAGCCATCTCGCAGATCGCCAGCTTCCACATGAACCCGGTGGTTGTCAGCCTTTTACAGAAGCCTCTGCCCTTTGACAGGTAGACTCTGACTTATCTGGTCTCTGCTCTCAGGAAAAGCAACTCCCCAAGAATCATTGTGGAAAGAATTATTGTTTAGAAAACAAAGGTTTAACACATCTCCCCTGAAAAAATTAAAAATTGGTATTTCCATCAGGTTTGACAATTATCTTTATTAAATAATAATGCTGGGAGTTTGGGTTTTTTAATGTTCATTATAGGAATGCGTGCATATTAGAAAGTAAATATTCCTTCCATGTCTTGTTACTAAAATGTACCTACAGTTTTTCATCTTGATGGACCTTAACAAACCTCAGTAAACCTAAGACCAGGGTGTTGAAATGTTCACTAAAACACCATTATCTCCTAGCATGCCAACATGTCCATCTGTCCTAGAAATTATTAGTCATCATGTGATTTTAGATTGAGTCAGATGGAAAAGCTCAAAGACCAGGGAGCTATGCCTTATATATCAACTTTCTGCCTTGCCCCACTAGGGACACAAAGATCCTGTGGAAGGCACTGGCAGAAAACCCAGCCTCCAGTGGCAAGCTCATTCGGGTCTTGATAGACAAACTGGAGACCAGGTTAGAAGATGACATCGCTGGGATTGAAGCAATTTCAGTGAGTTGGACATTTCTTCACCTGCCTGGAACTGTGTCATATTCCATAATCTGTCCCCGGTGGTGCTGTAGCCTTTATCACCATTCTCCTTTCATATTCTAACTTTCCCTCTGTAAATTCATCTGTGGATGATCATTTTTGGAAGCAATCTTCTCATCAGCCCCAAAATGATGTACCTATAATTCCAAATGAGCCTTGGAGATATCCAAAGCACCCTTTTGTGTTAAAGAACTGCAACGCTGAAAAACATTTCATCTTCCCTGACTGGTGCCACCTAAAGTTGTGGTGCCAACACAGCAGTTCATAATTGAGAGAAAAACACAGTCTGAATCAAGGTTACAGCCAAACAAGCCCCCCACTTTTGTGTGTTTTACCCTGCATGTAATCAATGTGAAAAACAATCACCAGAGGTGAAAACAAACTGAAAAGTGCAGCCCAGGAAAAAGATGTCCTTGAGGGGAGGAGAGCACCTGACCAGAGGTCCTTTGTCCTCGCAGGTGGCCTGCGCTATGTATGAAGTGGTCTCAATAGGAGTGCCAGTCACCACCTTGTACCCAGAGCTATTCACTCTCCTCTTGAAGCTGGTCAGCTGCACTCTTGGCCAGAAGATGCCCACTTCAGCCCTGAGCAACAGGAGGCGTGTGATGCAGCAGGGGGAACGGCAGCAGGACCCAGACCCCTGCAGGTAAATGGCGCAGCAAGGAGAGGCTTCCCGTGTGGTCCTGACCCCAAGCTTCCAGAGACGGGCTGTGAAAGGCAGCATGAACTACTTATGAAGAAGCAAGGCTTTGTAATGCTTCAGCTGTGAGCCCAGGCCTTGCAGTTCTTTGTTCTTCACCAAGTATAGCTGCCCTGAGGAGAACAAAAGGAGTGAGGGGCTATGCTTCCTTCCTAGATGCCCACAACTTCCCTTGGCTTATTTTGCTAAGATTATGTTAGGAGAGTTCAAATCCTGTGATAATAAGGAAAATGGAAATGAATACCATATGTCCACAAATCTAAGACTTCACAATTGAGAGAAGCAAGCAATATCATTTTGTGTGCCAATGAGAAGAAAAAGGCTTTCAATTAATCAATAAGTCAATGCCTTCTTACACTTTTAAATTTTCATTTTATACTTCTCTTTGAGGATTGTCAGGTTTAGACATTCATCCCATATCTTGATTTATTTCCTTTACCTTTGCCAAAGTTTTCATTCCAAAGCCAAATTATGGCACAATGTTTTTAAAGACATTTCACGTAGCATTTAGACTCCACCCATGCACTGGGAGCATTTAGCCCCTCACTCCTTCCAATAATGCATGTCACTTCGCTAACAGTAACAGAGCTAACAGAAGCATAAAGTGCTATACCTAAGTCCAAGTGTGTGTGAATGCAGAGACGATAGCAACAGTATCAGCAGTATTGTCTGTCCAACAGCAATTGCACTTCAAATCTGCTTTGATGATGCATCTTGATTCATACTTATTTTAGCATAAGTAAAATATGGTATTTTAAAATTTCCTTTCTAGGGGATTTTTTTTCTCTTGGGGGATTGACAAGATCCTATAAAGTTATTATTTACAAGTTCACTATCTGAAGATCCTCTTTGACCCAAAACTCAAAAGCATGGGAGCAGGGCTGCCTGGTTTTTGTTCCACACATCCACTAACCCAATGTTAAGCTGGAGTATGCTCTGGGGAGCAGGAGCAGAGTGCTTGGGGAAACACAGCTCCCCACATGGAGCTGGCTTACCTGTGTGACCACTTACTCATGTGACTTACTTACTTCCCTCTAGGCTCTCAACTGCAACTCTGAAGTGCTTGCAAGCCCAAGCCATGCGAGAAGGCCTTGCAAAGGAGTCTGATGAGGGGGAAAATTTATGGGCTCTACTTAGCAATCCTGACACCCATCATATAGGAGTGTGTGCTCTGGCCAGGTAATGGGAACACATTTGAGAACTAGAAAGATATAAAGGAGAAAATCAAAAGTAAGGAATAAAAATGCAACATGGTCAAACTTGCTAAAATTAATTGATTCACCTAGGATTTATGAAGGAGGCTATCAGGAAAAGAAGAGGAAAGGTGCCTAGGAGGAGGTCGTAGGGCCAGACCAAGTTCACCCTTCCTCAGAAAAGGAGCAGTTCAGGGGCTGGTGAGATGGCTCAGTGGTCTAAAGCACCTACTTAGAACAAGCTTAGCAAAGCACAGGGACCGCGGTTCAATCCCCCAGCACCACATGCCAGCCAGCCCCGCCCCCTGGTGGGCTGAGCTGGCTACACACACACACACACACACACACACACACACACACATAAATAAATAAATAATTTTTTAAAAAAGAAACAGAAAACTTTTTTTTCTAGTTTTATTGATAAACATATAGCAATGAGACAGTTTCAAATCAAATCGGAAGTACAGTTTCAACAAATAATACACTGTATATATTCTTCTTAGTGGTTAATTGCTGTACAAGATGCGGACTTGTGATCCTATTTACAAACACCATTAGAACAAATCATTCCAGTCATTAAGACAATGCAACTATATATCTACCCCAACCACTTTGAATACACAGATACAGAATGGACATTCATCGGTGTACCCCATTTTTCCTAAGTTCCGTTACTGAATATTATAGCTGTGTAAACTCAGCAAAATATTCTAAAAGAGTCCAGTAGCCCATAATAGCATTGGGTCTTCTGTTTAACTGGCAATGTCAGGAATTATTGACCTGAGTCCCCCACAGCTTAACTTAACAGCATGGCTTAATTTCTTATATTTCGTCTTCATACTTTTCTACTGGATGGTTAAGACCAAGGTAAAGCAGGACCTATGCAACAAGAGTTGTAGCTTTTTGGTCTGAGAAGGTCAGTGAAATGCCCTCAGGATTTGTCCTGAGATCCTGTACCTCATATTGTAGAACCTTTATCAGTGCAGCCATGTGGATGAGTCACGACCATTGCTTGGCCAATGTGCTCTCGAAACAGAAAACTTTAAAAAAAAATATTAAAAAAAGAAAAGGAGCAGTTCAAGAGGACAGCTTTACACATGCTGCATTGTATTTGGATGCTTGATATTTGGATACTTGATGGTCATTAATCCTTTTTAGATAAGCTAGTGCCTGAGGAATAAGTAGATTAAGATTCCTTCCATTGTTTAGAGAAAAAAATCTCTGACAAACTTTGCACTTTCTAGGAGCATGGCAGTCTGGCAACACAGCATCATACTGGACATCATGGAGCTTCTACTCCCCTCTCTCACTTCCTCTTCAGAAACCTACCGCATAACGGGCACAGCTTTCTTCTCTGAGGCAAGCAAGAGCAGCCACCAGGGCCTGCTCACCGGGTCTCCTGGGGCACTTCTGTGGGTCCGAAAGGTCTTCAAAGGAAAGGCCTTCAGTAATAGAGAGACCAGTCCTGCCAGAGTTGCCTAAGCTGGCTGTGGAAGAGAAAGAGGAAACCTCCCAAAATCACCTTCTGCCCTTCATCTGCAGAAATAAAGTTTTTCAGGCAAACAGAAAGAAAGACAATTTTTCAATGTGCAAAACAAAAAAATGATCAAAAAGATTCCCTTCCAACTCTGTAATAAAAGTTGTCTTAGCCCATCCAGGGAGGGGACAACATGAGCAACTGCTGATGGCCAGCACCATTTTTCCCCTGAGACTAGAAGCACACTCTTATCTAGGTGTTATTGTTCTTGTCACTGTGCAGGCTTGACTGTGGGCTGCTCATACACAGAGCTTAGACCCCAGGGCTTCCTCCTTAGCTCCACAGCAATGAGGCCCTCTGTGTAACTGTATTAATGATGCCCTTCCTGAAGGGAGGTCACTTCCTTAACTAAATGGAAGAAATGTGATCATTTCAGCTCATGAAGGAGCCAGTCCTGTGGAAGCATGGGAACCTGCGAGATGTCCTGATCCTGATGGACCAGAGTGCCTGGGATTCCAATGCCACGCTCAGGCAAATGGCTATTCGAGGGCTTGGGAACACAGCATCCGGGGCCCCCCACAAGGTAAGCAGCTTTAGCAAGGAAGCAGTTTCTTTAAGTAGAGTTTGCAAATAATTTACTCCTACGTACTTAGAAACTGAGTAGAAACTGAAAACCCCAGTACATTTGCATAAGTGGTTGCTCTTGGATTGAAGTATATGTAACACTAACAAAATTTCAATTTCCTTGCATGGAGAATCCTACAAGATTCCAGATATACAAAAGCCAAACAATTAAGAGACTTTATTTTTAAAATAGGTGAAGAAGCATAAGCAGATAGTTTTGGAATCTGTCATCAGGGGCCTGTATCATTTGGCTCGCACTGACGTCGTCTGTGAAAGCCTGAAGGCTCTCAAAAAGATTCTGGAGCTGCTCACGGACAGAGATGTGAGCTTCTACTTTAAGGAGATAGTGCTTCAAACAAGAACCTTCTTTGAAGATGTAAGTGAACCTGTTTAGGAATCTTCCTTCCCCAGAAGGAGTAAGTGAGTAACAAAAGCTTCAGCAGGGGTTGTAGAAGGCAGAATCAGTGTCCTACCAGTATCCCTTGGGCAGCCCAGTGTCCTGCAAAGGATTCCTATTCAAGCTAATGACTTGCTCTGTTTCTGCCTGAGGATACTTCCTGCCCTGGGAATCATTATTGACCTAAGCAGCGCAGGCTGGAAGTGCTGAGGGAAGAAAGCCCTGGGAAGAACCCTTAAACAGTGAGAGCCAAGAACCTGTGCACACATTTCCCAGGTTCTGCACACCTCAAGACTGAGTACCACCCACCTTGGAGGACAACACACCACTACTGCTCCCTTCTTAGCTCTTGTTCCTGTACTATGCTCATCCCCCAACTTGATTCCTGAACTCGCCTCCAGATGCATATCACTTTCCCTGAAATTCTCAATTCCAGGATTACTTCTGAGAATACAAAAACTAGGACAATACTCACTGTAGAATTAGGGTTTGAACAAAGATGAAATTATCTTCTAGCACTGTCTTTCTCCTTCCCCAATTCAGAGACTCATTTCTTCCACAGATCAGGAAAGTATAGCTCATGGACCAAATCAAGTCCAGAGACTATTTCTGTGATTAAACTGTTATTGGAACATGGACATACTCATTGATTATATATTGCCTATGTCATCTTTCACTCTCTACTGGCCAAGCTGATTAGCTGGTAGAGAGACCATAATAGCCAACTTTCCCATCATTGAACACAACACATGACACTAACAACTTAAAGGTTTAATTTGGCTCGCTGTTTCAGTCCATGCTCAGCTGGTTTCAAGTAAAAAATATTAAGGAACAAGGGCATGGTAGAAAGAGCTACTCAGTGTGTGACAGCTGGGAAGTAGAGCAAGGAAAGACTTCCAAACGGAAGGGAGGGGCCACACAGAGACCCCAAGGCCAGACCTCCGTGACCCACCCAACTACACTTAGACTTTTCCTTCACCCATCTGCAGGGCAGACCCCAAAGCCAATCAAGTTGAAAGTCCACCCAAGCTACCAGAGTCCATGTAACCAATAAGGTCTAAGTGATTTACTATTGGGCCTTCTACTGAAAGAGTTTGCCAATATCTAATGCAGTACTTACCTTTTAAAAAGATCAGTCAGCAATCCTAGGACAAAAGAGTCATTTCCTTTATATCTTCCAGAAGTCCACATTTAATATTTATTTTGTTTCATTCCTCACCTTCAAGATAAAACTTCATTTCACTACTTGCATCTGTTGTTTTGTGATCTTTACCTTTTTCCTCATTGTCTGTTATCAAAGAAAATGGAAAACTGTCAGTTGCCTCCTGTCATACATCCTCCATAAACACTAAGGCTTTGTTAAATTCAGTGTCCATGACTGAAACACCTTCATTTCCTTCAGTATTCAACATAAGCTAAATTTTTGTACTCAATAAATATTTTATAAGATAGTGACTGAGCTCAATCTCTAAATGAGACTCAAGAAACATTGAGTAGAATTTAAGGGGAAAAAATTAACCTATCTAGTCCAAACTTTTACCATATTTTTGCTCAATTTTTTAAAAAATCTTGTTTTGACTCTTGGAAATTTACTAACCAGAGAATCTATAGATTTTAATCTTCACTATATGTCCACATTCAACAGTCCACAAGTTTTATATTTTACAGTTTCCCTTGTGTGTGTTCTAGCCTAACTGTAGCCTTTGAAAACAACTTTCTGCTTTATTTTCATTTTCTCTAATTTACTAATATCACCTTCAAATCTCAAATTGTTCTAAAAATTTTTTTCTGGGTTCCCATTCAATTTAGTATCTTTTGTAAAAATAGCAAGAACATTCTATTTTTATTATATAGATAATCGATAGCAATCTTCAACAAAGGACAAATCACTCCTAAGGGCCCTTTGTTTTTGATTTTTTTTTGGATTGATGCTGAACTAATAATAATAATTATCTAGAATTGGACCTTCAGTCTACCTAACAGTTTTGTGGTCAAGGTCACGTCTCTCAATGCCTTGAGAAAAGGGGAAAAAATCAAATTCTTGCTGGTTATTAGGTTAGATCTTTCCTATTACTGATTGATAAATTCGATCACTCTTGCATAAAAATAAACTCTGAAAAAACTTAGGTCTTGGTAATGACATGCTACTTAGTGTTCATTAAAGTTATGTTTCTGCAAGTATATTTAAGCCTATGATGGTTTGTCACTATATTTCTCTAAAGGTTAAGCATAAAACTGTAATCTTTGAGATTACTCTTCCTTTGCCTTTGTCTTGTTCTCACTCCCTCTTTTTCCCTCTCCCCATCTAAATATCTTTACCTTTTGAGTATTTTGCTATTGGTTTTCTTTAAGGAGGGGGGAATCTTTTATAATTACAGTATATACCTTCTCCTTAATCATAATATATTTAAAGAGCTATCTCTGGTTTTATGTCTATTATTCAGAGTGTTTACAATGCATTCATTTAGCTATTCTGAACTTTTCCTAAAAAGTCATTTTTTCCTGGAATATATCAGTTTCTTTTTTATTTTAAAGAGAATGAAAAATAAAAATAAAAATAATACAGAATTTTGAAAGAAGCTGATAGGAAATTAACAATGGTTGTTATGTTACGTATTGTTATCTTCGAAGTAGT